AGCAGCTGTGGTTGGAGACAGGAGAACCACCCTAAGCTCAAAAGCCAGTTTGCCTGGAGTGCACCGCACAGCAGCAGAAATGACTTGGCTTGGCAAGGTGGAAGGAGAGACCTGACTTCCAGAAACTGTCCTTCACATGGAGTTGGGCTTACGTGTGGACGCGTGCACAGGTACGGTTCTGAAAGTGTAGGAAAGATGTTGAAGTCTGCTGTCAGCTGGTTCTGTGCCAGACAGGAGCTGGTGAGCAAAGTGGACATTCTGCATGGAATGTTAAGAAGGGACACAGGACGCTGGGGTGTGGTGGCACTGACCTAGGGTTCCAGCTTGAAGGGCTGTGTGTGTGTATACATATACTTATATGTACATATATATATATATATATATATATATATATATATATTTGATAAAAACAGAAAAAAGACAGAGAAAGGCTGAAATGTAGCTCAAAACTGCCCAGCAGGGGTGGCTCACGCCTTTAATCCCAACACTCAGGAGGCAGAGGCAGGTAGATCTCTGTGAGTTCGAAGCCAGCCTAGTCTACAGAGCGAGTGCCAGGACAGTCAGAGCTACACAGAGAAACCCCATCTCAACCCTCAACCCCCAAAATGTTCAAAGAAGAGAGTCACACACACAAGCACACGTTAATACATACACTCACACATATACACACACTATCAGAAACAACATACATGCCTGTACACACACTTATAGGCATGCATTCATTAGCACACACAAATGCATGCACAGACATGCATACACACTCGCACACACACATGCATACATGGGGGCAGAAAGGGGATGTGAATGCCTCTTCCACTGGACAGGACACAGATAAATGCATCTGTAGGAGACAAAAAAACTGATGAAATTTTTTCATCAATGAAATGAAAAAAAAAAAACTGTTTCCAGACAGGGTTTCTCTGTAGCTTTGGAGCCTGTCCTGGAACTAGCTCTTGTAGCCCAGGCTGACCTTGAACTCACAGAGATCCACCTACCTCTGCCTCCTGAGTGCTGGGATGAAAGGTGTGTGCCGCCACCACCTGGCAAAATGATCACTTTTTGCCTCTTTTTTTCTGAATATGGGTAAGAGGTTCTGTTGAGATGAGCAGAAAGTGAAATAGAATAGAATTTGAGGGGAACAATAGAATATTTGAAGTAGCTATTTGTAAGGATTTGGAGACAGTAATTTTTGAATTTAGAGATCCTAAATTTAAGAGTCCAATTTTTGAGAACTTTGTTTTTCTTTTTTCTCTTTTTAACATTTACCTATTTATTCTGTTTGTGTGTGTTTGTGTGTACTCACATCTGTTTGTGTGTGTTTGTGTGTACTCACAGGTGTGCCACTGTGCATATATGGAGGTCAGAGGACAGTTTTGGGAGCTAGAACTCTTCTACCATATGGGTTCCAGAAACTGAATTAGGTCATCAGCCTTGGTGGCAAGCACATTTATCCAGTGAGCTGTCTCCCCAAGTTCCTTGTCTTACCCCCCCCACACACACCATGTCCCCTTAAGAATTATTGTGCTGGAGGCAGAGGCAAGAGGATCTCTGTGAGTTTGAGGCTAGCCTGGTCTACAGAGTGAGTTCCAGGATGGCTCCAAAATTACAGAGGAATCTTGTCTCAATAAAGAAAACAAAAACAAAAAAATACAAAAAACTCAACCCCTAAAAAAACAAAAAACAACCAAAACCAAAAAGAACAAGACACTTTGACAAGTTATTCCCTTACTAAGGAACTTAAAACAACATACCCTACTCCCTCCAAATTGTATTATCCAGCCCACCTTGACGATCCATCCTCCTCTAACAAGATTCCCCTTTCACTTCTGTTCAGAATCAGTGTCTTTTGCACACACAGCCTCGCATGACCTTTTACTGTCTACACCTCAGGCTGCGTATTTACCAAGGAAAAGCTTCTGCTTAAACACAGACTCCTAGGACTACACTATCTCCTCTCTTCGGGCTGACTCCCATCAAAGCTCCCTCCCCCTCCAGATAAAACATCTGCAGAGAGCAGGGACCAGAATCCAGTGGGAGAATGTTTTCTTAGTGTATTATCAAGGGCTTCGGTTTCTTTCCCCAGCACTGAACAAAAAAGTAATTAAAATGTTTCCAATACTTCTTGCAAACACCAAGAAATGCAGAGGCTGGCCTTGAATTCCTCTGCCCGACTCCTCCATCGGCAAACTATGAGCTCCGGACAGTCCCGCCACGACAGGCTGTTGGCATTGCTCTTTAATTTTTTTTGAAATTTATTTAGATTTATTTTTTTATTTTGTGTGTATGAGTGTTTTTGTTTTGTTGATTCATTCATTTGTTTATTTTGAGATGGGCTTGCTCATCTCTCTATGTAACCCTTGCTCTCTTGGACCTCATGTAGACTAGACTGGTCTCAAACTCACAGAGGACCTTCTGCCTCTGCCTCCTCAGGGCTGACAACCACTACGTCATTTCTCCATCCTGCTATTGCTTTTTAACCACTTAGTAAATGTAGATCTTGTTTTTAACTAAGATGGATAGTGACAGGTAACATTGAGTCTCTGATCCTGCCTCCAACTGACTTACACTGTGCTGGGGACTGAATCCAGGTTTTGTGCATGCCCTACCAGCTTAGCCACACTTCCAGGTTTGGCTGCAGATGTGTTTACACACTGAGCCATCTTTACAGTTCATGGGAGTCATATTTTTAAAGACTGGGATAATATGTCACAGTAAACTGTGTTTATTTTTTTTCAATTTTTTTTTTATGTACGTTGGTGTTTTGCCATGAGTGTTGGGTCTCCTGGAAGTAGAAATACAGATAGTTGTGAGCTGCCATGTGGTGGCTGGGAATTGAACCCGGGTCCTCTGGAAGAGCAGTCAGTGCTCTTAACCACTGAGCCATCTCCCCAGCCCCTAAACTGTGTTTAAATTGTTTAATACTTATTTCATTGAATTAAGGTTTGATCTGTATTAAAACTTGAAGGAATAATGTGTTTTGTTTGTTTTATTTGGGTTTTCAATACAGGGTTTCTCAGTGTAGCTCTAGCTCTCCTGGAACTCTCTCTGTAGAGCATGCTGGGCTTGAACTTACAGAGATCCACCTGCCTCTGCCTCCTGAGTGCTGGGATTAAATGCATGTGCCACCACTGCTTGGCATGCAAGTATGTTTTGATCTATACATACTAACCTATCTAGTAAGTACATATTTGAATATCCAAATCCCATTCTAGAAGCTAGGAAACATGTTTGCCTATCTTTCTCTTAAAACTTCTTTGCAATCTTCAGAAGATTCCCTAATTCTCTTTCCTTTGTTTTTCCAGACAGAATTTTTTCTGAGTAGTCCTGGCTGTCCAGAAATCTCTATTTAGACCAGGCTCTGGCTTCAAACTCACAGAGGTTCTCAAACATCCTCTGCCTCCTGCATGCTAGGATCAAAGGTGTGCCACTAGGCCCAGCCCTAACTACTGTTTTCTTTTTATTTAGTATCCGTATGCGTGTAGCGAGTGCAGTAACGCTACAGTGTGTGTGGAGGTCAGACACAACTTTTGAGAGTTGGTTCTCTCCTCCCACCAGAGGTTCTGGGCATTGAGCTCAGGGCCTCAGGGTTTTGAAACAAAATATTTTATCCATTAGGCCATTTTGTTGGCCTATGTCCTCTAATTTTACTGTCTGCTAAATTGCTTTGGATCCAGGCCCCTTCAGCAGTTACCATGTGTAGGTCTCATCCCTTTCTCATTCTGTTTATCTCTATTGCGTCTCCTGACCTTAAATCTTCGAGTCTGTCTTGTGTCCATGTCCGTGTGTGAATCTTACTCACTGTAGGGCACAGTCTCGCTGGTGGTCTATTTATTCTATTCGGATTCCCATTCAGTTAAAGCCGCTGTAGAAATCGGCAACTCCGTGTTTTTTTCTCCAATCCAGAGAACAAGCGGTGGGTGGAAGTGCCCACTCAGACGACACTCTCTGAGAATGCCAATGTCTCCCAGACCCACCTACATTCCTGGGAATTTTGAAAATATCTTTTGTCCTAGCCCCACGCAGGGAAAAATCTTAGCAGGCAAGCCCAAGGTGGAAGCTAGGCAGCATTGTCTGAAGTAGCCTTGTACTTCCTCTTCACTGACATTCCTTGTGGAGGTTCTTTACTGGGGCGTGGGGATAAGGAGCAGTTTTGCCGTTTGGGGGTTTGTCCAAAGGCCTTTTGAGGAGGTGGGACACACTAATCTTGCATCTATGGGGTTCGGGCAGCTCCCTTTCATGTCTCTGTATTTCTCTAGTGTTAGTCTGGCTTTGAGCTTTAGCCTTCCTACCTGTCCTCCTTTGTCAACCAACTGTCTCCTGACAGCCAGCCCTCTGTCTCCCTGGAGTGGTGGCTCAAGGCCGACCTGTTCTGACTGTAGAGGTCGGAAGGGAGGAGATGAGGAGCGCCTGATAAACCGGAGGACACTTTTCGTTTCTCAGGCCTCCACCCCCAAACTACATGCAGGCCTTCATACTGGGGTCAGGATGAACGTGAACCAGAGAAAGCATATGGGGATGCAAAAGAGACACAGGCAGAAGCTTAGCAAGGAGAAACGCGGAGAGACTAAGGAGGGAGACTCCCTAGAGAGCAGGGTCGCCTAAGTCGTTGATGGAAGTGAGGGAGGATCGCGCAGGCTCTGACAGCCCAGCCCAGCTGAGGCCCCCTGGTTTCCTGTCTCTCTTCTCAGGTTGTCCTCCTGACTTTCTGTGACACTTCTGCCCAGGAACTCGTCTCTGTCAGTCTGTCTCCGTCTATGTATCTCGCGCCGGCGTCTCAGCCACTGTCCGTGGGTCTTTCCATCTGGTCTCCTGCTCACCCTCTCCGCTTGGCTGTGGGTGGACCGTGCGCTCAGCGCCCCTCCCCCTGCATTACTATTGGCGGAGAGGTGGCGGGAAGGCGGTATCTAGCCCGCCGATGAGCATTCTATTGGTCGCAGGGACCGAGAGGCGGGCCGGAGGTGGGTCCGGCCAGGAGGCGGGCGGGGCGGCTGGGGCCGAGCCCAGAGCTCCGGGCGGTCGCATTGTTTTCCTCCGCGGATCTGCAGCGGGAGTAGGGGCTCCCACTCGGACCCAGGACTCTCGTAACCCGACAGCGCCCTGGAGCCTAAACCCAAGCACCGTCCAGACGGGACGCTCGTCGCATCTCGCCCGAACCCCAAACACGGATTGCGAACTCTGTGCGGCGCGGAGCTGGGGGCTGCCTGCTGCTCCCTGGATCTCGCTGACCCGGATCTCGGAGCAAGTACCCTGGGGTAGGGATGTAGCTGCAGGGAGGGGCAGGAGTGCCGCAAGAGGGGGTCAAGCTTCTGAGTGTCACCGAGACCCGAGTGTGTTCAGCGCGCCTTGCGCCTGACAGAGAAAGGGTCAGCGGACTTAGGGTGCGTGGAGGAGGAGGGGACTGTGGCCGAGCCTAGATGCTCTGCTGGATGCAGAGTGTAAGCTTCTTTTCCGACTGGTAGCAGTCGCGTCCCGCTAGACTGGGGGTCGCGAAAGGGGATATTTTCTTTTTCTGAGGCGCGCATGATGCAGAGGGTGGAAAGCCCAGCATCTTGCATCTCCCGCGGGAAACTGAGGCTCCAAGACCTGTGGAGAAGTAGACCTTCTTGACGCCCCTGCAGGAATAGGAAAGGGGACAAGTCGTTCTGGACTTTGGTGTCAGGGTTGCTTCTTCGTCCTTGTGCAGGCTAGAGTCTGAGCACTCCCAGGGGGAGGGGTCAGCTTGGGCAAAGAGTCCAGGAGTGGGGCCACGGAGAAGCATCTGTCCCCGCGCCCACCTCCACGCTTCACCTCACTCCTCCCGGGGCTTTGTTACTGGTCTCCCACCAAGGAGAGCGGGCCTGGCGACAGCATCTTAGCTCACCTACTCGCTCCGCGCGGGCCTACGGCCCGCCCTCGGCGGTTCCCAGCCTCTGGCCCTGTTTCCCTGGTCTGGGAGACCCGCCTCCGTCCCCCAACCCCAAATCCATCCCCACTCGATCTGCGCCTGCAGGCCCCTCCAGCCCCTCCTCCCGCTAACGTGGCTCTGGGACCCGGTCCCGGTCCAGACGTTGCTACCCGCCCCTCCTCGGAGCCCCGGATCCAGTGAGGGGGAGACACGTCGAGCCCCTGGCCCCAGGCCCACCTCACGCTAAGCGCTCGCGAAGCTCCAGACACCTGGTTTATCCACATTGGGGGGGTGGATCGGAGGGAGGGTAGGTACAAAGCCTGGAACTGAGTGGAAGGGTAGGGTGAGAGGGTTTTGAGGCTCAGCATACCCCAGAGCCTCCTGAGGAAGGTGGGCTGGGGCGGGCGACCATGCCTATGGTTTCCTGCTATTGTCCCCGGCCGGCCTCTCAATCCCTTCCCTGGCTCCTCTAGACACCGGCTATGACCTCGGCCACTCCCCAGAGGTGGCTGTCTGGCTGAGAGGAAAAAAGGGGGCATGTTTCATTTTTCAATCAAGGGGAGGACCCGAAAGAAAAGAGTGGCCAGGTCTCTCTCTCCTTGGGATTTCTCCAGGTCACAGCACGCCTGTCCCCAGGCCAGGGATTGGATGGGAGCCACCCAGATGTTGCTCCCCCAAACAGCTATGGGAAGCCTTCTTAAAGATGTATCATACTTGAGTCTAGTGGGCCAAGGAAAAGGCCAACCAAGTGTTTTTAGAGGCTGGACTAATCCAGCTTAAAGTGAGCGAGTGTGGGGGGTCCTTAGTGAGAGAGGTTAGGTGGGAGCTCTCTGAGGAAGGAAGGGGATGAAGATACTTGCTATCAGAGCATTTTGCCTGAAAATGAAGAGCATGCAAATTAGATGTAAATTAGCCTCTATTGTCCCTAGCTAGGTCGCTTTTGCAGGGAGGCTCTTGGATTCAGAAGGTTTTAACATGGGAGTGGCCATCAGCCCCACAACTCCCAGACAACCTTTTCCCAAGACTGGCCTTGCAGTTCTAGGAGTTTCTGGCTAAAGGCCAAACGCTACCCTCATATCTTCCGGTGCAAAGCCGTCCTCATTTTGTATCCAAACAAAATGGTCCCCCAACAGCATCTCCCCCACACTGGCTTCAACAGCTTTTTCACAAATTTGCACATTTACTTTTATAGGATGTGTAAGGGAGATGTGATTTTTCCCCCCTTCTTTTGTCCCTTCTTCTCTAGATCAAAGGGCTCCTATTCCCTTTCATCCCCCACAGGACCCACCACCCCAGGTAAGAGAAAAGAGAGCAGGGGATAGAAGCAAACTCCGCCGTGGGCCAGGACGAGGGTCTGGATGTTCTCCCCACTTGCCAGAGACCAAAGTTGTTTCCAGGGTGAAGATAGCAGTTGCCCAGGGCAACTTGAGGGGGGGCAGGTAGGAGAGCATAGAAGACAGGCTGTGTCCCTTTCTTTTCTCTAGGGAGTACCAGCAACCGGAAACATGGGTTGGGGGAGGGAGGAGGACCTGGTCTTTCAGTGGAGGGGTCCTTAGCTAGCTAACTGCTCTGCCTCTGGGGAAAGAGGGGGGGATCATACCTTGTCCCTTCCTCCAGCTCTCTTGGGGCCCCACCTGACGTCAGCCTCCCCACCAGTGACGCTTGATTGGGCTTGGGTGGACACTTGGGTCCTGGCTTTGAGTGGCATTGTTGGGGAGATGGAAGAAGGCTTGCCCTGTGAGCGCAGAGTTTCTCCTTTAGAAGACTTGGAATGGACTACTAAGGCTTGTTGTGATTGGTCCCAAAAGAAAGGACTCCTAGCTCCCTGACCTGACTACTGGAGCCTCTTCAGCCCCACACTTCAGTGTCATGGGAAGGCAGGAGGTTTGTTGTGCACCACCTCCAGTGCGCCCAGGCAGGGTCATGGCTGGGGTGGGCTGGTGGTGGGAAGGAGACCCGTCTCACCGCTCCTTTCGCCATAGCCATCTTTTCTTGGACTTTGGGCTACAATTGCCTGTCATTGAATTATTTATATTTCAATTTCAGAGGCAGCCTGATGAGGGAAGAAGGGGAAAGCGGGGCACGTTCAGCCATTTCTCCTCACCCGTCCTTTCTATCCTTCGCTCTGCAGAGGGGGTGGGTCTGCTCTTCTCCCCTCACTGAGAACGTGCATTGGTTCTTAGGAGCCCGGGAGGCAACAGGGGGCTCCAGGCTGGGAGGGGGCACAGTGGTCGAGGAGACAGCTGCAGCCAGAGCTAAATTTAGCCTCTGATCTGGCTTTCATGCAGATTCATTTTTGGCTAAGACAGCCCCTCCACGAACACCCCATTCCCTCCCTCCCCAGCTTCTTTCTCAGCAGTGGGAATGGCCCCTTAAGTATGAGCTTAGGCCAGGTCAGTGACCCCCCGGGCTGTTTGTCCCTCTCCTTCTGTTCTTTCTCAGCCCTAGACAGGACCATGGCTGCTGCACAGCTGCCTCTGCCTGGGCTCAGTGCCTGCATTACTCCCAGGGTGCTGTGGGGGTCTGTGAGGGGAGGGGAGAGCAGACTTGGTGCCCTCTTCCTCCTCCTCGTGCCAAGGAGTCACTATTTAGAATTTTAAGGCGTCAGTGTCTAATTATAGCTGAGAAGGGGTTAGCACGAGGGGGGCAGGAGCTGTCACCTACCGAATGTCCCAGACCCAGGCAGGAGAGAGGAAGAAGGGCTGGGAGGGGCAGTAGATCTGTTCTGTCCTTACCTGGGGTCACACCGGCAGGCTTCATACCAACCAGTTTGGGCCAGTTCGAGAGGGAAGGGCCTTGAGTGACAGGGACAGCTGGCTGGGAGTGAGGCTGAGATGGTTCTTTGCCCCACCCCACAGGGTCTTCTGGGGATAGACCTGGGGAGGAGTCTGCCTGCAACAAGGCTAGAGAGAACTTAGTCCCTTCCCCCACTTTTCTGTCTCCCCTTCCAGAGCCAGCGTATGGGTGAGGGGGTACCCCCTGGGGCTTGAGCTGCCCCACACAGGATGCCCCGTGCCCCCCACCCCATGCCCTTGCTGCTGCTGTTGTGGCTGTCACTCCCAGATGCCCAGGCTGCCTTTCCCCAGGACCCCATCCCTCTGGTGACCTCTGACCTGCTAGGTGAGTACTTCACCCACTTGACCCTCCGGAGGGGCGGGTAGAGAATGAGACCCGCGTGCGAGGCAAGGTGTAGGCAGGGAAGAGAATGGTCAAGTGAACAAACAGGTGGAGTGAGCCGGTCTCATCCCTGGGTTTTGCTTCCTCACTCAGAGGTGGTGTTGCTGTGTGGCTAAAAAAAACATGACCCTAGCTGAGTGAGGTGCAGGCTTACAGTCCCAGCGCTTGGGAGCTTGAGGGAGGAAGATTGTAACAAGTTTGAGGACAGCCTGAACTAGGTAGCGAGTTCCAGGTCAGCCAGGATTGCGTGGCAAGACCATCTCCATCAGGCAAAGGAGCCTATGAGGAATGGAAGGTCTGAGCCAGACCAAAGCAGAGCAGGTTTGAACTCGGGTGTTCACTAGCTGTGTGACCTAGGTTCTTTCTCTAACCTTTCTTTGCCTCAGTTTCCACATCTGTAAAAGGAAGATAATCATAGTGCGCTACCTCACAGAGTTATTTAGAGACTGACTGAGAAAAACAGATTCAGCACTGACAAGGCGCAGTCCTGAGAACACCGTCTGGCCCGAATTAAACACTTTATATTTGTGTGTTATTCTTAGCCACAGCGTGAAGTCCTGGGCCAGGTCGGTGGTTCCCAGCTCTTACTTTCCTCGCTACCCACCAGTGAGCCAGGTCTCACCATGATAGAAACTGCAAACCCAGTTTTTCTGAGAAGAATCTTCACCTGTTTGGGGTCTGTGTTCTACATGTTGGATTTAGAGTAATTTTAGTTGAGTTATTGGAATGATTGTTGGGGGTTAGAGAATAATAATAGCAAACACTACCAGGCACATGCTTTTAATCCCAGCACTCAGGAGGCAGAGGCAGGTAGATCTCTGTGAGTTCGAGACCAGCCTGGTCTACAAGAGCTAGTTCCAGGACAGGCTCTAAAGCTACTGAGAAACCCTGTCTTGGGGAAAAAAAAATAATAGCAAACTTGAGTTGGGCAGTGGTGGTGCACGCCTTTAATTCCAATATTCGCAAGGCAGAGGCAGGTGGATCTCTGTGAGTTCAAGGCTAGTTTGGTCTACAAAGTGAGTTTTAGGACAGCCAGGGCCACACAGAGAAACCCTGTCTCAAAAAAAAAAAACCAAAGTAAATAAACAAACAAACAAAAATAGCAGACTGCATCAGATGGGTTCTCAGCACTCTGTTAACGTCAAACCATCTTTGAGCCTGGGTTCCCCCTAAACACCCATACCTGTGGCTTCCATGAGCAGACCAGGTAGACCGTGGGGTTGGTCAGAAGAGGGAGGAACTTTGAAGGGTGGTGAGGGGACGAATCTGGAGGGAGGACTCAGAGGAGAAGAACCAATGCTTTAATTGTTCGCATGCATGTGTGGGTGCTGTTGTGTGACAAAACTCTTCCTGGGGAGACAAACGCTTGTCTAACTCACCCCAGATACGGAGCCCATGACAAACCAAAGTACGGACACTACCAAAGTCAATGAGTTTTATTGAGATCCCTTACAGGAATATGGGTGAAGGGCTACAGGAGCAGAAATGACTCAAAGACAGTTGTGTCACCAAAGCCCACCCCAGCGTGGGTGGCAGCTCACAAAAGCTGGGAACCTGGAGCACACTGCACAGCCTGCAGGTAGCTCGGCAGGTTGGAGAGCGTCCTTTCGGGGTCCTCAGTTAGTCTCTTCCAGGCAGGCCGACTGGTTTCTGCTTCTTGCAGGCAGCTGGTGTGGTCTCAAAGGTTTTTGTTTTGTTTGTTTGTTTTCCTTCTTCTCTGGGAGCCTTCTTTGCAGCTCAGCTTCGCTTCCTCTGAGGGGGCTTCTCAGCTTTTATTGTTTATTCTGGCAAGGAGGGCCTTAGTGAATCTGGTCAGTTTCAGGGAGTTCTTGAATCTTTTTTTTTTTTAGTTATGTACTTCCCTGTGTAAGGGGCTCCCCTGCAGGATGAAATGTTTTGATCTCTTGGAGGTCAGAGGAGGTAGGTCTCCTGGAGTTGGAGCTGAAGGTGCTTGTGAGCCAGTTGATGTGCTTGCTGGGAATTGAACTCTGGACCCGAGAAGAGCACTGTATGCTCTTGACCACTAAACCATCTCCAGCCCCTTGAAAGGAACTTTCTAATACAGAGGTGATCTGGTGTATATGAGTCAGATCTCATATACACCCTGCAGCCATGTACTAAGCCTTGAATTGGGGCCAGTGTGAAGTTAATATATTAATATGTCATATGAATATAGGTTAATATATTAAGCAAGGTAGATCATTCAAATAACTCACAGTGTCTGGTGAAAATGAAATCCTCAGTCAGAGTTGATTTTGTATTTGTTTATTTAACTTTTTGATCTCCCCCCCCCCCCTCCGCGAGAGTTTCTCTGTGTAGTTTTGGAGCCTGTCCTGGAACTTGCTCTGCAGACCAGGCTGGCCTGGAACTCACATAGATCTGTCTGCCCAGTGCTGGGATTAAAGGTGTGCACCACCACCACCGGACTTTAACATTTACTCATTTGGGAGGAGTGCACGTGCTATGATGTATGAGTGGAGATTGAAGGTCAGCTTGGGGAATTGGTTCTCTGATTGCACTATTTGAACTCAGGTAGTCAGGCTTGGCTACAGGTATCTTTATCCTCAGAGCCATTTCATTGTTCCCCTTCCCCATTTCATTTCATTTCATTCTTTATTTGGGGCCAGCATCTTGCCTTGTGTACCGGCCTGATACTTGCTGTGTAACCACGGCTGGCCTTAAATGCTCAGCGGTCCTCCTGCCTCAGCGTCCCTATTGCAGGTTTGCACCACTATACCTAGCTTCTGGCTTTGCTTTCCGATGTAGATTTGGGGCCTCTCTTCGCTCCTGCTCTGTTGACAGCTGGGCTTCCCTGATAGGAGAGGAAGTAGGAAAGCTGTGTTATCTCAGCTGTCATCCTCTAGGTTCTTCTCCATTATCCTGGTTCCGGGGCCTGGAGGAGGATGCTGTGGCTGCAGAACTCGGGCTGGACTTTCAGCGATTCCTGACCTTGAACCGGACCTTGCTTGTGGCTGCCCGGTAAAATGGCCGAGGCACAGTTGTGGGGCAGACATGCATGCTCCTGGGCAGACATGGGACCTGCATGGCCACTGCAGCATCTTGCAGGGGACACATGCAGGTGCACAAGCCATGGGACATGGACATGCTTGGACCCAGAGAACAAGGCGTGGAGTAAGGGGGAGGCTAGGGAGCAGGAACTTTGTGTGGCTTGGCCCTGGCAGGTGAACACGGGTAAGCAGGGGACTGAGGCGCTCAGGCAGGCAGGGTGCCTCGGCTCAGCTCTGACCCCTCCTTACCTACCCTTCAGGGATCACGTTTTCTCCTTCGATCTTCAAGCCCAAGAAGAAGGGGAGGGGCTGGTGCCCAACAAGGTGAGGGGCTGTATGCGAGGAGGTGCAGGCAGGGAGACGAAGCTGGGAAAGGTGTATTGGGGGTCCCGTCCAAGAAGGAGTCGTGATGTGAGGAGGGGTCCTGGTTGCCCCATGACCTCCCCTCGTTTTCTCTCTTCAGTTTCTGACATGGAGGAGCCAGGATGTGGAGAACTGTGCTGTTCGGGGAAAGCTCACGGTGAGGAGTGGAGCGGGTTGGAGGGAAGGCAAAGAGGTTCAGAGACCAGAGAACTTGGTGGAGGCTAAAGGGCCAGCAAACAGCCTGAGACTGTAGCCAAACTGTCATGACCGGCTCAAGACTGACGGCTACTGCCTCACTTCCTGCGGCCCCTAACTTCAATTCCAGGCTTGTCATTAACCTTGAATTTTGGGTTCTCTAGGACGAATGCTACAACTACATCCGTGTTCTTGTTCCCTGGGACTCGCAGAGGCTCCTTGCCTGTGGAACAAACTCATTCAGCCCCATGTGCCGCAGCTATGGGGTACAAAGGAAGAGGGCTGGGAGGAGATTCCAGAATAAGCAATCAGTTTGATGGGAAGAGATGGGCATTTGAGGATGGGACTGGCATGCTTGCTTGGAATGCAAGAGTGTGGAAGGGGCTGGGGAAGAGGCACATAGGAGTGGGCTGTGGGGCCACACATCCAAGACCCCAAGGTTCTAGGAACCTGCCTCCTCTGCCCCCAGATAACTTCGCTGCAACAGGAAGGTGAGGAACTGAGTGGACAAGCTCGATGCCCCTTTGATGCCACCCAGTCAAATGTGGCCATCTTTGCAGGTGTGCACCTGGGCATGTGGCTGGAAGGCATCCCTCTCCCAACTTGGTCTTTCCCTCATGTCCTTGAGTGGAGGGCAGTAGGGGCATGGGGCAGGGCCTAAGTCACTGTGTGGGTACCAGTAAGAGAGAAGCTGCAGGCCCTGAGCTTCCCCTGATCCCCACCTCTCCAGAGGGCAGTTTGTACTCAGCCACAGCAGCGGATTTCCAGGCCAGTGATGCTGTAGTTTACAGAAGCCTTGGGTCGCAGCCCCCACTCCGTTCTGCCAAGTATGACTCCAAGTGGTTGCGAGGTCAGTCTTCCTGAGGGTCAGACTGCCCGGGGGGACACCAGGCCTGTGCGGGGGCAGGAGCATTGTGTTTGTGGATGGGTAGAGAAGATGGTGTAGCATGAGTTTCTGAGCAGGTATGGATACCCTTTCCTGTCACGCCCTACCTTAGAGCCACACTTTGTCTATGCTTTGGAGCACAGAGACCACGTCTACTTCTTCTTCAGAGAGGTCGCTGTAGAGGATTCCCGACTGGGGAGGGTAAGCAGTTGGACACCAGGGGAGGTTAGCTAGCTGCAGGGTTCTTCTGGGTCCTAAGAATGGTTCTTGGCTCTAATCTCCATAACAGATTCCTTGGATCTGACCCCTTCCCATGCCCCTCTGCATAGACTGCAGCTCTCTCATCTATGATATCTGGCCATTCGCTCCCGAACTGACCTACTGAACCATTCCCGTGCTTTGCCATGACCCTTATGTTTGCCTCCCGGAGCCCTTACCTCACAGCAGCTGCCGGGTGGCTTTCCTCAATCTTTCCTCAGGTGCAGTTTTCTCGGGTAGCCAGGGTGTGTAAACGCGACATGGGCGGCTCACCTAGGGCCTTGGACCGCCACTGGACTTCCTTCCTTAAGCTGAGGCTCAACTGCTCTGTCCCTGGGGACTCTACTTTCTACTTTGACGTCTTACAGGCCTTAACGGGGCCTGTGAGCCTGCATGGCCGCTCTGCTCTCTTTGGGGTCTTCACTACTCAGACTAACAGGTGGGTACTAGGCTGTGTGATCTAGTTCTCCACCCCCGCCAACGTTCACACTCGCTTTCAATGCCTCCTGAGGAGGACGTTCCAAGCAAGGCCAGTCCGCTGTCCCCCATGACTGCCCTGCCCCCAGTCTCTGTCTCTCAGTATGGCACATAACGACAGGCAGCTCCACAGCTTACCTGCAGGAGTAGTCCCGCCCCTGTTAACACCTTGAATCTTTTCTGGCTCCCTCAGCATTCCTGGGTCTGCAGTCTGCGCCTTTTACCTGGACGACATTGAGCGTGGGTTTGAGGGCAAGTTCAAGGAGCAGAGGAGTCTGGATGGGGCCTGGACTCCTGTTTCTGAGGACAGAGTCCCCTCACCCAGGTACCCGGGATAGAGGTGACTTTGAGGGGGCAGAAGCAATGCTCATTCTTAATATTCGGCTGTGAGGAGAATTCAGGTCACTGTGGCCAGGACAGAGCTAGCACTGGGTTGGACTAAGGGGCTGCAACCAGGAAGGGAGCAGGTGCTGCAGGGAGTGAAGGTTACCAACCACGTTTGAGAGTGGGGGGCACATAGCTTCATTAACCCTGTTCCCTGCCCTAAGGCTGCCCCCTTCCCATGTGCCCACCAGGCCAGGGTCCTGTGCAGGTGTGGGTGGAGCTGCCTCGTTCTCCTCCTCTCAAGACCTACCTGATGCTGTCCTGCTCTTCATCAAGGCGCACCCACTTCTGGATCCCGCGGTGCCACCTGCCACCCACCAGCCTCTCCTCACTCTCACCAGCAGGTAACCAGAGATAAACCCCATTGGTGTGAGGGTGGGGCTTGTGAAGGAGCAAGAGTGGGAAGCGGGGCATCAGGCTTTCCTGGCTGTGCTGTCCTCACCTGAAGCCTGTCGCTGCAGGGCTCTGCTGACCCAGGTAGCTGTGGATGGCATGGCTGGGCCACATAGAAACACCACAGTCTTGTTTCTTGGCTCCAATGACGGGACAGTGCTGAAGGTGCTACCTCCAGGGGGACAGTCTCTGCGACCTGAGCCTATCATACTGGAAGAGATTGATGCCTACAGTCCTGCCCGGTGAGTTCTTTGTGGGGCAGAGGTGAGATGGTAGAATAGGTTGGGCACTCGTCCTGGTTTGGCAGAATTAGAGGCCTTGAGGTAGGGGAAAGGATTTGGTGAGAGAGCTCTACTGGGCTGGGAAGGGTGGTTCCATAGGGTGAGCCCAGGTCTTCTTTGCACTTCTCCTCTTGTCTCTTCCCACCCAGACCCCTCTGGGGAAAGACAGCCTCACCTTCCCCATTCCTGTTAGGTGCAGTGGGAAGCGCACAGCCCAAGCTTCACGACGGATCATAGGGCTGGAGCTGGACACCGAGGGTCATAGGCTCTTTGTGGCCTTCCCTGGATGCATCGTCTACCTCCCTCTCAGCCGCTGTGCCCGGCATGGGGCATGTCAGAGGTGAGGAGCTGAAGGGCAGATGCTGCCTGGCTATGCTTCCTGGGCGGGTAGGAGCACAGGAAAAAAAACCCAAGTCTGGAGGGTGGCAAGGAAATGGAGATAGTGGAGAAGTTGGGGTACCCTGGGGAGTTTGAAGGTGGGCAGCAGCTGGGGTCTGCAGCAGACTGGGATGGGCAGATGGGTGGAGTGTGGGGCTGGGAGTGTCCTGTAAGGCAATGGAATGGATTGTGCACGCGGAGGATGCCAGTCTCACTCAGCTCAGTTTCCCTTAGGAGCTGTCTGGCTTCTCAGGACCCATACTGTGGGTGGCATCGACTGAGAGGCTGTGTGAGCATCAGAGGACCTGGTGGGTAAGTGAGGAGCCCCTGGGACTTGTGAGGAGAGTGGTAAAGCGTAAAGCCACAGTGAGCCACCTCCCTTTTCTTCTAGAACTGATGTGGATGTGAGCCAGGAATCCATGGAGCACGGTGACTGCCAAGGTAAACACGAGGGCCGGCTGCAGCCACAGCTGCATATTCTCTGACGGCCACCAGCATCTTGGGCGTGGGCATCTGTCTTTCTCGGCATCTGTTCCAGTTGCTTCTACCACCTTTCCCTCATTCTCACTGTCTCATAGATGGAGCTACTGGGAGTCAGTCTGGCCCTGGGGATTCTGCTTATGGTGAGTCTTCCGGCCTCAGTTTCCTTTTTCCTTGCTTAGCCCACACAACCAAATCTGTCTGGGCTATAGGCAGGCCAGCATCCTGAACAGCCAGAAGAAACACTGGAATTCTGGACTTGTGTTCCAAAGGGGAGGGGCTTGGTGGTGTCAGGGGTGGAGAGCGGAAGTCTCACTAGCACTGACCTGGTCTCTGTTACCAGTGCATCTGGGTCCTGGCCCTTCCCTTGAGACCCCCAGTTCCCCCAGTGATGCCCACCCAGGGCCCCAGTCTTCCACTCTTGGAGCTCACACGCAGGGTAAGGGGGTTGCCTGGGAGGGACCGAGTGCAGTGTGGAGCTGTTGAGACTGAGAATTCTAAGCCGGGTGCTGATTGGTGTTTGATAACCACTAACACCTGTTTGGAACCGCCCTTCACCACAGCTGGACATCCCAGCCAGTGTCCTGCACAGGCAGGGTGGCAGATGTGCCTGGCATGGCTGCAGGGGCTCAAACTGGGCAGGGACTACCCCAGACCCGTGCTCTAGCCTGTGTGTTTAGGGATCCCGGGAAAACGACTCCTGAGACTGTGTGGAGCGAAGCTGAGCAGCAGCATGAGAACTTGTGGTTGGCCCCACCTGTGTCCCTTCCGTGCGCCTAAAGCTGAGCCGCCTCCCTCCTTCTTGGCCGGCAGGCGTGCGCAGGGACCTTCCCCCAGCTTCAGCCTCCCGCTCCATCCCCATCCCACTCCTTCTGGCCTGCGTGGCGGCGGCCTTCGCCCTGGGCGCCTCAGTCTCCGGCTTCTTGGTGTCCTGTGCTTGTCGTCGAGCGCGTCACCGTCGGAGCAAGGACATCGAGAGCCCGGGGCTGCCGCGCCCTCTCTCCCTCCGCAGTCTGGCCCGGCTGCACGGAGGCGGTCCTGAGCCCCCGCCTCCGCCCAAGGATGGAGAAGCTGCGCAAACCCCTCAGCTCTACACCACCTTCCTGCCTCCGCCCGATGGCGGAACCCCACCCGACCTCGCCTGCCTGCCCACCCCCGAGTCCACGCCCGAGCTGCCGGTGAAGCACCTCCGCGCCTCCGGGGGGCCCTGGGAGTGGAACCAGAAT